GCTGTTATTCCTATCCAAACAGAACTTTTAGATTTACAACAAGGCCTTCAACTTGCATGTGATCTTCAACTATGGCCTTTGAAAATAGAAACAGATTCAACAGACGTGCTTCAATGTCTTGAACATGGTTATCCAACGTACAATACTATTATATGTGAATGCAGGTGGTTGATGCTCCAACTGAAACAGGTGGTGGTCAGACATAGCTTCAGGCAAGCAAATCTCGTGTCTTATGTTTTGGCAAAGGAAGCTTCGAAGATGTCCAATCTAAACCATGCTTTGAGATTTGCAGCTCCACCCCATTTTGTGGAAGCCCGGTTCCTAGAATACAAAGGTGAAACATGCTTTGTTGATTAATTTCGGATAATGCATGTACTAAACTAGCTGAATATGGAAACCAGAATGTCATAAGTGGCATCACTCCAGAATGTAATATGACTACTGTTTATTAGTATTAATAATATCAATATTCCAATTTCTCAAGGAAAAAAAAGCATACGCTATGATATGTATAAACTAGAATTATAGGAAACATTTTTATGTGAAGATTATTATTCACATAAAATATTTCAACATCCTAATGTTGATCTATGGGTTCATATATAAAAAACACGAATGCCCTTAGCGAAATGTCGTTCGCCTTTTTTATCCTCTAAAAATAAATTTCACATTGGACATAATTATAATTTAAGTTACTTTCCTAATATTTAGGGTATTTAAATCACCTAAAAATTTGGTTATTAAATATTTCTAAGAATCCTAACTTTTAGCCTTTGGCCATCATAACATATTTATTAACAAGAAAACGTGAGTTTCTTAAACCAAATAGAATACTATTTAGGAAATAATATTTAACTACAATAAAGGACTAAAATTTAAAATTAATGCCTTTTCTTTTCATTTCAAACTCGATCTTAATCACACAAATATAAATATTCCGAAGTCCCTTAATTTATGTTAAATATTATAAGAAACACTTCATTTAATAGTTATTTAATTATTATTTTTAAAATTTTAGAGCTTAAAATTAATTAAGAATTACTTATTAATTTGTTTCTTATTTGAACCATGAAGAAAGTTAAAATTTATTTTTTTTTCATTTCGAACTTTGTATAAGTCTTACACGTAAACTATATATAAATGATAAAAAAAAAATAAAAGAAAAGAAGAAGTAAAATATTTAAGAAAGAAGAGGTACGAGTTCTTGGACAATAGCATAGATAATTCACTTTTTAAAAATATATAAGGCTATTGCACTAATAATATTATGTAACGACACGACCGATCGTTTTGAGAATTAGAGTCCCGATCCTCTAATATCTGCTTTTTCCATATTTGTTTCTGCTTTTGGGATTTGCTGGAGTGATTAGTTATGGAATTCGGGGAGTTTTGGGACACTTAGTCCCTAATTGTGAGTTTAAGCCTTAGAAATTAGACCGTAGTCGAAACAGCGTGAAGACGGATCCAGAATGGAATTACATCGACTCTGTTAGCTCCATTGAGTAATTTTGGGCTTAGGAGCGCGTCCGAAATATGTTTTGGAGGTTTGTAGTAGATTTAAGCTTGAATTGGCGAAAGTTAGTATTTCGGCGATTTCGGCCGATAGTGAAATTTTTGATATCGAGTTCGGAATGGATTCCCGAAAGTGACTGTAGGTTCGTAGTATCATTTATGACATGTGTGTAAAATTTAAGGTCATTTGGACTAAATTTGACGTGGTTCGGCGTCGTTTGTAGAATTTGAAAAATTCTAAGTTCTTAGGCTTGAATATGTGCCTAATTCATGTATTTGTTATTGTTCGACGTAGTTTAAAGGCTCGACTAAGTTTGAATGATATTTTAGGAAGGGTTGGTAGGTTTGATTGAGGTCCCAGAGGCCTCGGGTGTGTTTCAGATGCTTAACGGAATAAAATTTGGACTTAGAAAAATCTGGTGCCTTTGCTAGTTCTGGTGTTTCGCACCTGCGGAAGGGAGGCCGCAGGTGCGAGAGCCACAGGTGCGGAGAGAGTGTGCAGATGCGAAATTGGTGGGGCTGGTGATGGAGCGCATGTGCGCAAGTTTGACCGCACCTGCAAGCTCGCAGGTGCGCATGGGAAGCTCGCAAATGCGAAAATGGGTTGTCAAGCTGGGCTCGCAGGTACGACTAATTGTCCGCAGATGCGGCCCAGGGGTCGCAGGTGCGGACCCAGCCCAAGTAAGTGGACTTCACACCTGCGATGGGTTTGTCCGTAGGTGCGGTCCTAGGTCCGCAGGTGCGGAAATCGCTGGGTTGAAGAGGCAGATTCGAGGGTTCATTCGTCACTTTTCACCAATTCGAATTTTAGCTCAGGAGAAGGCGATTTTGCAAGGGTTTTGAAGAGGAAATCAATGGGTAACAATTCTTAACTCTAATTCGTATATATTTCATTAATCTATAGCAATTTTTCTCATTTAATCAAGGGATTTAAGTGAAAGAGTGGGAATTTGGGGGGAAAAGTTCTCCAATTGAATTTTTGAGTTTTGATCGAGTTTTAGGTGTCGGAATTGGATAATTTTTGGACGAGTGAACTTGTGAGTGAATGGGTATTCATAATTTATAATTTTTACCCGATTTCGAGACGTGGGCCCGGGGAGACTTTTTGGACATTTTTTCTAATTTCACGCTTTAGCTTCGAATTAATTAGTTAAATTATTTATTTGTAATTATATTTACATTATGCAATTAATTTGAATAAATTTGGGATATTTGGAGTCGGATATTCGTGGCAAGAACGTGATATCAAGTTGATTTGAGCGGTCGAGGTAAGTGGCTCGCCTAACCTTGTGTTGGGGACTTTCCCCTTAGGATGTTTGATATTAATTGATGTGTGGGCGGCATGTACGCGAGGTGACGAGTACGTACACGGGCTACTATTACAAAAACTTCGTTTTCCTTTCTAAATCATAAACTGTTTTCCCTTATTAAATTTCCCTAATACGTTTAATTGTTCAGCTTAGATTAGAGAAGCATGCTTACGTGTTTTAACTGCCTATTTGACATTCTGTGCGCCATGCTTAGTTAAGTCCCTACTTTCCTTATCTATGTTCAATGTAAACTGTATAACTCGATGTCATACCTGTTATTTCATCTTGCGTTGCATATTTAAATTGGGACTACAGACATATTCCGGGAGATCCCCCCGTCTTGCATATTTATTTTGGGACTACAGACGTATTCCGGGAGATCCCCCAGCACTGCATATTTACTTTGGGACTACAGACGTATTTCGGGAGATCTCCCTGTACTGCATATTCATTGGAACTACGGGACGGTATCTCGGGAGATTCTCCATTGTGTTTACCTTGTTCTGAGCCGAGGGCTCCCTTAACTGTTAAATTTTCGAGAATTTCTTTAACTGAATTACCATAAACTTTACTTATATCTTTTATTATTTAATTTATTATATTTACTCCGGTAAGGCCTTGACCTGACCTCGTCACTACTCGACCGAGGTTAGGCTTGGCACTTACTGGGTACCATTGTGATATACTCATACCCTTTTCTGTACATATTTTCGTGTGCAGATCCAGGTGCGAGATATCAGCCTCAGGGTTAGTGCATGCTGCTGATTCTAGGAGACTTCAAGGTACTTCTGCTTGCGTCCGCAGATCCTCGGAGTTCCCTTCTACTCCCTCGCCTAGAGACTTTCTTTATTATCTTCAGACTTTTGTATAGAGCTACATAGATTATAGCTGCTTGTGACTTAGTGATATTCCGGGTCTTGGGAAATTATTTTGTATATGCCGAGTGGTACCACTTTTGGTTATTCACAATATGCTGTTTATCTTTAAATTTTTGCTTTTTTTTATATTTTTCGTAATATTAGGCTTACCTAGTCGTAAAGACTAGGTGCCGTCACGACACCTTGCGGAGGGTTAATTTAGGTCGTGACATATTATTCAATATTATACTTTTAACTTTCAAAAAAGTTAAATGCACTATTATATTTATGAAAAATATTGAGCAGAAATCAATAAAGAGCACAAAATTAACAAGATAATTTATGAGATTCTTTGATTTTTAAGCCATGATACATTTAGCTAAATATGAGTGGGTTTATTAGCTAGATTTCAATTGTTGAATATCTTACTAGCTTACTTTATTTATTTATTTATTTATTTATTTATTTTTAATGCCTTTTTTTGTTTATTATTGCACTTTGATTTTGTGTTATTTAAAGTTCGTAGATTATTAGTTACCTGCTTATATGTTGTAAGTTGTATACTTCAAGATTATTTAGATTTCCAAGGTTCTTGCCCGTGAAACTGAAATTCTGAAATTATAAACTTGGAACAAATTTTAAGTTGAATTATTGATGTTGAGGACTTCTAAGATAGTTTCTTTAATTATCGAGATAGTTATACACATCGATATTCATGATTATCTTTAGGAACGTACACTTTTATTTTATAATTTAATATTATTTAAAAAAAATTATACTCATTGAGACAGGATTCACGCGCATCACGTATACCCTAAAGCTAGTTTATGAAAAAGCGATACTGTTATTGAATCTATATTACTATAATAGATAATGAAACAGTAATTTTTTCTGAAACAGAAAACAGGAAATTAGCAGCAACAAAATGTCGAAATAATCAACCAGAATCTGATAAATAATTTCGGAATAAAATCGAGCCCACTGAATGTAAAGTGTGTCCTTAAGAAAATTATTCTCCTCAAGTACCCGATGTGCTGAAATATTATCCTCCTAGGATAGAACGATTTAACTCACAAATCTTTTAATTCCAACAGATACTACAATCAATAAATAGTTTTAAATTTTTAAAGATTGTAATCTAAACATACTTATATACTCCTAATAGTTTAATAGAAAATGAAATTTGTCAAATCATTTGAAGGTTGTGAATTAGAAACAAAAAGGTTCATATTCAGTTGGAAGAGTAAAAGTGTGCTTTTTACTCTTTTTAAATTAGTATTAAAAAATGAAAACTACTTTCTGTACAAGAAAATTGACCGGCCGGCCTGACAGGGTGGCAATCCAATCCATTTGGAAAACCTGAAACGCGATTCAGCAGTATCTAGTGGGACCCGGATCAGTATCTTCTAGCAGAAACCAGTACGACGCGGAGAGTGAAGATCACGTGCCCTTTTGTTCAAGGAAAGTATAAAGCTCTTCGCGGTCAACCTCCGCCGTCCGCCTCCGCACTCCACCCTCTGTTTCCACTCGTCCCTAAATATCACACTTCACCTAAGCTTTTACTATTAAATATTCGCCGTGAATTCGACGGGATTATATACTGTACGGAATCCGTTGGAAGAGTTGTCCGTTTTTGGTGATCCTGCTCGATTTTGTTTCAGGTAATTGACTGGACCGTAATTAGTTTGGAATTTAAGAGTATTTGATTTATTGATATTAATTTGAGCACCTAGGTTTTTTGTTTTCGTCTCTTTTGTTTACTCTGCTTTAGATGATTATGGTTTAATAACTTTATTTTAGGCATTTAAGCTGCTTAATCCTGATTATTGAGCTGAATTTGTTTTATGTTCGACAGCTTTTTTCACAGCTTTGTCTTATTAGCAAGTCTAAAAACTGGTTAATAATCCCTCAGTAATAATTTTTTTTTTTTTTTTGCTGGCATGTATATATTAGTACTCGCCCCCTTCCAATTTATGTAATGGTATTTGTCTATTTGACTGGGTATGGAGTTTAAAAAAGAAAGAAAGAACAAAAAATTTGAAACGTGTGATCTAAAATAAAACATAGAAACTTGTGTGACCATAAATTATCTCATTAAGGGTAAAATAGAAAGTTTAAAGTTAAATCTTTACTAAATATAGACTGGTGTCATTCTTTTTTAGGCTGACTAAAAAGGAAAGAGTGTCGGATAAATTAGGATGGAGGGAGATTGATAGTGCCATAATTCATAATTAGTTAGGATCTTATATGTATGAATCCTCGGTATAGGTTTGTTTTGCTGCAATACTAAATTAATGTCTTTTAAGACAAATTAGGGAAGAGAAGCCTTGGCGCAACAGTAAAAGTTGTTTCTCTGTGACTAGGGGGCCAGAGATTCAACCTACAGAAACAACCTCTTGCAAAAATGCAAGGCAAGTGTACATACAAAACACCCAATGTGGTTCAGATTTCGTCAGATACCGCGCATAACTGGAGCTTAGTGCATCGTGCTGCCCCTTTTGTTAAAGACAAATTAGGGATTCTCTAAAACTGGATATTATCTAAACATCTATCGGGATCAAACACCATGTCCAATTTAAATGTAACGACTAAGCCTTAATCCCAATTGGTTGGTATCACTTATAGCTACTTTGTTCACATTGTGTTTTGTTATACCTAAAGACTACATTGTTTTGGAGAGGTCAGTCTTTTAAGAAAACTTCCTTTCATGTAATTTTTTCTTCCTCGCCCCTTTTTATCTCCTTCAAATAATCCTATTGTCGCTCTAGATATCCTAAGCCTTTATGTTTTGTGACTAAGGATGCATGCAGTGTCCATTTAAGTTCACCTGATTGCCTTATGGTTCCGTATGAAAGTAAATGTTCCAAGAATTAAACCATTCGTTAGAGGAACATTGGTATATGTTCTGACTTTCCACAATTTCTTTTTCTTTTGTTGATTCAAGATGTGACTGAGATTTATATAGGTCATCAATATGGGAGACTTGCCATGTCCACCATATCCCAACCAAAGATTAGAGGCAAGGATACTTAGCAAGAACAAGCTACCAAAAATTTGTTTAGTTGCTTCTGCGACAAAGCACTTCTCGGAGAAGACTTTGAAATGTATAACCAAAGTGAAACAGAGTGTACAGACTAGTGGAGCTGCTGGTGATGTTGTTGTATTTTTGGCTACCACTGCTGCTCTAGAGATCGTGCGAAGGCTAAGCAAATGTAGATGTCCTTTTATTTGGCGCGGTTTGCAGGCTCTGCAAGTTTTATGTTATCCACCGTTTAAGTGGATCCAGAAATGGGCTCCTTTGAAGGCATTGGTCAAACAGTTGCAGGTGGTTTTCCATTCATCTTTTGCTGTCCTATAACTCTTGCAAATCCAAGAGTACTTGCATTCACATTTTGATGTTCTTCTTGTGATCTTTTGACACCTCTTGGCGGTCAAATGCCAGAAACTCTCGATTTATCCCCAAAAAAGAAAGTTCTGCGTGTGAATTGAGTTTGCCGACTGCAGGACGTACATATGGACAAGCAATGCCAATGGTGCATTTTATTTGGATATTACCAATTCGTCTTCAATCTGCTGTATGATGTTCATAGGGTTCTCTTCTTTGTCTCTTAAATTTTTCCTGCGCATGTCTGCTTGACAACATTAGTGATAACAACCAATGACTTTTGTTTTTCAAATAATCATGTGAGAATTGTGCATTTGTGATTTCAGATGCTAAACTCTTGGATACGTAATGTTGACTTTTTTCCCGTATGGCTGGTAATAATTTTACACGAGTCATTGATCCAGGTTCTGGTTATCTGCCCAAATATTTTTCTCTTTTATTAGAAAACGTTATTGTGGATTTACTGCTATCTGATTCCTGGACTTCTTGTTTGATTTAGTGCAAGAAGGCTATGCACTTGATCTAATACTAGGAATATTTTATCATAGAAGATAAACTTTTTTTTATGATAAATGGTTTATGTTTTATTTCTGCAGCACTTCAAGAAGATAAACAGTTGACAGCCAAAATTAGTTTAGTTGGCTGTTGTTGTTAGTTGTTACTCGTTAGATGTAGCATGTTTAACAGTTTTTCTTTCTAAACTTCCAATCTTATTCTTATTTTCTTTCTTTCAAATTGATTGGTGTTTCTAGTGTACTGACTGCTGTTATTCTGGCAGAAATTGTCTAGGCCAATGCTATTGCTCTCAATTGCAACAGTTTTCTCTGATCAGTCATCATCTACAGAAGAAACGACACCAAATGACTATCATGATTCTCGAGCATATCCACAAGCTAGGTAGGTGTAATGTTGTAGGTATATTTTCTTTGGAAGTCTTTTGTTTCCTGGACTAGTGCAGTTGTCAAATGGATATAAGGATATGGTTATAGAAGAGTTCATGTCCAATTCAGATGCTTCTCTTTTTGTTTCTTTTTCCATTGTTTGGTGCTTACAATGATTCTGAGCACAGCTAAAGGAACTCTTCATCAGATGACTTCTCATATGATTATTTTTGTGAATTCGAAGTGGAAGAATTCACCTTTTAAGTACTGAGCTAAGGGCAACATTGTCTCAATTTTGGGATGTTTCAAAATGTTTGATGCCATCCCACTAATAATATTCTATTCAACTTTCAAAGTTTTTCATAAATTTAAATTCATATAACTATTATAAATTTAAACATGTTTTCTCTGTCAATCTGATTTTTCAACCACTCTATGAATATTTCCTCCACTAAACAATATAATACGTGTCATATTAACTTCTTAAACTTGTGTAAATTCAACAAGTAAAACAGAGAATTAATTAATTAGGATTTATGAAATTAAAGCTACAACGAGAATGAGATTACAATCTTAGCTAGTTCTACACTGAAACCCATTTTTTTTACTGTCCAATATTTTTATGATGCATGTACATGCAACTTTAACAACAATGACAACATGAAAAGAAGATTATTCATGAGATCCAATAGAAATTGTTTTTTTAAATTTTAATTCAACCTTTTTATTCAGCTTTAATGTAGTTGCATTGAAATGTATTGTTAACAACAACAAAAATAAAAAGAAATATTCATTAGCCCTAGAAATTATACTTGTATGATTGCATTTTCTTCGTGAAATTGATCCTCATTATCTCTTTTTCTGAAAACTTGCTCTCGGGGTTCTTATTAAGGTTATTACTTCTAATGTATTCTACATGATTCACGTTACAGCTCTCATGATGAAGTACTGGACGATGATTATCCTGAAAGATGGTTGCTAGAACTCCATAGGGAACTCAGGGAGGAGGGTATTAGTGTACCTGAGAGGTGAGATTCCACCCTTCACTTTTGGGGAAAATCAATGTTGCTTTGACGTGACTTATTTTCACTTTAGTAGCTTTTATTTTTTTATGCTTGCTCAAAAAAGGAAGAAAGCAAGAAAAAGAGATCCTTAAAAATAATAAAGCTTGCGAAGTCAGACTTCTATTTATCTACAAAATATGTTGGTCTTATGTACTAGTTAGTACAAGTATTCCTTTTCTTTAATAATTTCAAATACTATTTGACTAATTTGTCACTGATATATTATCATGTCATATTGGATTTCGCATGTTCCGTGTCACCTGCTAACAGGTTGAATGATGATGAGCTCCGTCAATTTTATGCTGCTGCAAATGGTGATTTTTCAAGGCTGCTTTCATCAGTTAAGAAGACCATTAAATGGAGGCAGAGTTACACAATTCTTTCACCAGAAGAGCTCGAGGCTTGCTCACAGTTCATTTTTTGGCATGGCCATGATGCCAATCAACGGCCTTGCCTCATCATTCGCCTTGGACTTGCTTGCTCCAACCTGAAATCCAGGGACAGACTTCTCGTTGTAAAAGCAGTTGGTGTGCATGTCTTTCTTGAGCAGTTTATACATCAGTAGAACTGGAACACATTTAAGAATGTGCCACTAATGACTGTGCCAACTGAATATGTTTATTCTTAAGCTTGGCAATTAGGGTCCCGGGTATCACTGGGATGACCAATCCTGAGTTTTAATTGTCTCTAGTTTCGTGGTACCCAAGTAAAAGCTGCTTCAATGGAAATTACTGCCTTTTGAATTATTCGTCAGACTTGCATGGGATGAAAACACCAATTTTTCTTGTCTGCTCTTTGTAATTCGTCATACATTTTTTGCTCTTTCATTATTGGTTTTTTGGTCTTAGTTTTTCATGTGGATTTCTTCATTTTGCATCCTGATTTTGGATAGATTTCTTATTGAGGTTTTGATTCCACAGTTTCGCAGATTGAACACGGTATTTTGAGCTTGGTCGATGTCAGACATCCTCAGATTACTGTCTTGATGGACTGTGAAGGACTCTCACCACTTGGTTTTCCCATACACACAATGAGATCTTGTGCTATGCTCTTGCAAGATCATTATCCTAATCGTCTTAGCTCTTTGATTGTAGTACGGCTCCCTCAAGTTGCCCAAATAATAATGCAGGCTTTCTTTAAGGTAACTTTACTGTTTATGCATTGAAAGATCTACCACCAACCCCAATGAAAGAAAGAGGAAAAAGAAAACTGGAAACTTCTGAGCCACTTTCTTTGCAGGTGGTTTAGAATTTCTTTTTGGTTCACTTGTAATTGAAATGATTTTTTTAAGAAAAGGCTGTGCACAGATGTAGCTGGTATGGTGGTGGCAGGCTAAGTTGCTTGGACTCGGGTGCAGGTTTCCGATATACGCGCAGATCTAGAGGTCGGATCCTTCATGATCTAAATTTTAAGATCTAGGGGTATAGATTCTGGTACAGATACGGGTGGGGAATTCGGCTAAAAATAATTCAGATATCTAAAAATATAGTTACAAAATTATGCCTAAACTATGAGACTTTTATGTGAAGATTTTTATGGTGCTTGTGGAGTGCAGAAAGTTTCTCTTTTATGCAATAACAACATACCCAGAATATTCTCACAGTGTGGGGTCTGGGGAAGGTAATGTGTACGCAAATCTTACCCCTACCTTGTGGAGGTAAAGAGGTTGTTTCCGGTAAACCCTCGGTAAAGCAATTCTCAACATGTTTGAAAAGAAAAACAATAGTGAAAAAGTCATGTTGAAAATAATGAAGACAAGAAACAACAACAAAATAACAGAGCAATAAGAAAACTGACACGAGGGAAACAACAAGTAGTAATAAAAACTGAAGGCTAAGATACTACAAGAATGATAGAAAGTTTCTCTTTTATATATAAGGTATTCTATTTTCTTCTTTCACCCTAGCTTTTGTTTTGATTTCAGAAATCATTGTATTTGTCTCAAATTTCTTGGTCGATTTTGGTCAAAGAACCCAAAATCGATTGACCAGATCCAGTACGGATCCTACACACACCCACGTTGTGTCGACACGGGTGCGGCACCGAAAGTAAAGAGTCCGAGCAACTTAGCTTTTGTAAACACGATATAATTCTCTCGGCCGCATAATCCGTTCATACTATTCAATGAAGGGAAATGATATCCCTATCTTCATATCAAAGGACCACTTAAAGAGTTTCTTCTTGTTGGTACTGCCTGGAGAAGTATCCCATGGTTTGGATTTTGGTTGATACTCATCAATATGTTGGATTAATGTGCACCTTTCTAGGTTTTAACTGAGCTCCTAATCCGTTATTTTAATATTTGTATGGAATTAAAAAAAAACTTGCCACAGTGCATAATTTCATTGGCTCTTATGTATGTCTGCATTGTTGTCAAATCAAATCAACATTGTACTTGCAGGTGCTTAAACCAGCCACACGCCAAAAAGTGAGGATAATTGGGAGAAACCATCTAGAGTTTCTCTCCAAGAACCTCGATTCAATCCCTTCGTTTCTTGGTGGAAGCTGCGTGTGCTCAAAATGCTCAGACGGGAGCAATGTGGAGGGTAAATCCGATGAAGTCACGTTGGCAGAACCAACACCTGACCGTGTGGACAGATCTGATGAGGTCTCTCGGACAGAACCAACGCCTGATCATGTGAATAAATCTGATGAGGTCACTTGGACAGAACCAACACCTGATCATGTGAACGAAAGCCCCAAGCTTGATCATAATAATGTCTCCAACACGAATGGCAACAGGGAAGAGTTGATGAAGACCCTCATCATTGGTATACTGTTGGTGTGTATACTTATTGCTGTGATTGTGGCAATGCATTATCCAGAAAGATTGCCTCTTTTGCATTCGCTTAGACAATAAATTTTCTGCTTCCTACGGAAGTTGTGGGTAGAGACTTGCGCAAAACATGTGCATCTCCTGGTAGAGCATAAATCCACTCTCCCCAGCAATAGATTTCTCTTCATCTTTTGCAGCGCCATACAAGTTCCTAGTTTGACATAGATGCATATCATATAGTAGTATGTTAGTAGAGTAGTTAAATAATTTCTTATCAATGTACAGTATTTTGTGAGCACCTGAAGTAATAGATTTTCACTTGGATTCCTGCGTAGTTGGGGATGGTTAAGAAATTTTTGAATCATGTGCTAAGTACTGTGTTTTGTCCGTTGGAGCGGATAAAGATAGCTGTTAATTTCCTTCATTTGATGGTGTTACTTCTGTTCTTTGTTCGCTAAGATTTGCCAAAATATTCTTCGGATACAAATTCCAGATATGGTTAACATGTACTAGTATATTGTGATTGACAATAAAATCTATGCTTTGCGAAAATAGTTCTTCCAGTAAAAATTAACAAAGTCCATACTCATTATGAGTGCACTGGATAATTGGCAAAAGTTAGATGCCTTTGTACTTTGAATCAACTGCTTATGACAAGTAAGAAGAGATATGAAGACAAAGACGCCGAGTAAGTTAGCAAAGAATCCCAGATCTTGATCATCATCCATTATGTGCAATAAAAATTGAACCTAAATGAGTTAGAACCAGATGAAATATCCCTACATTGGCAACAACCTGAAATAGTACAAATTCTCTGATCAAAACTGCAGTAGACAAATAAAAAAAAAGTCAAAATGAATGGAAAATACGACACCTAAAAAAGATAGGATTGTTGCAAGATTGCCTCTTCTACGGTAGTAGAAATAATAATAAAAATGAGTTGTGGCTGCTGGGATTCGAGCCCAGGTCTCCACGGCCACAACGTGGAATTCTCACCACTAAACTACAGCCACAAGATGCTTAAGCAGTGTGGATTAAACATATTATTTACTCAACCCCGCTAATTTCTTTTCTTGGTTTCCTACCCTGGTAACCGCTTTGAAACCGACTAACCCGAATTCGTCCAGAGAGGTCTCACTTTGAGGGATAAACTATTCGTCTGCTCCCTACCAAAGATGACTCGGCACCCAGGCATCGAATCCGAAACCTTTAGTTAGAGATGACTTTCAGTGGAACATATTGACTAAGAAAAGCTTCTTGATCTTATGTACTTATATGATTTTCTATTACAAGGATCAATATTAAACAACATTCGTAAATTTTCGAGTCCATTGCAAGTCTAACGGGATAATATGGGTGTACAAACCGAACCGAAAAATCGCACCAAATCGAAATGTAAAACCAAACTGATTAAAAAACCCGACTAAGTTTGGTTTGATTTGGTTTGGTATTGAGTAAAAAAACCCGAACCAAACCGACATATAAATATATAATTTTTTTTATATAATTTTAGGACTTTATATAGAATTTTATTTAAAAGATGTTTAGAAATATTTGAGATCCTCTCATGGGATATAATATTTAATAGAACTATAAAGTGCATTCATTTTTATTTACTTTAAATAATAGATTGTATTCAAAATTTATTATATGTTTTGAAGTGGTATTTCAATAATCTAAAATTAGATAGAACATATCATTATTTAGGTATCATATTGATTTTTATGTTTAATTATTAAATTTGGTTAACCCCGAAAGTGTACATCAACCAAAAATTATTGGTAGACGACTAAGAAAATAAACTATTATGTATTACTAAAAAAAATTCTCCCATAAGATCACTTTAATAGATCATATATTTATTATTATTTTTTTAATTTTTAGTAAACATATATTCACTTATCAAAATTTTATCTATAACTTTAATAATGCAAAATTAAAATAATATTCATGTAACAAAAAAATCGGAAAAATTCGACAAATCTGAACCAATCCAAACCACTATAATTGATTTGGTTTGGTTTTGATAATATCCGAACCAACCCGGTTCATGTAAACCCCTAGGGATAATCATTATATTTCTACTATGATGTGATATATATCTAACATATTTAGTTATTTAATATTTCTATGTATATTATAGAATATTAAAAAGCGAACTGAATTTATACTATAACATAATATTATCCATCTTATTTCATATACTAGGATGAGGTTAAATTCATATCTGTTCTATATTCTCTTAGGTTTATTATATCAAACGGATATCTACAAAATGCGAGCAACAAAACTAGAAAGTAGATGAACCTAAATATTAAGTTAGAATATGTATGCCCTTCTGTTGATGTGTAAATTTAACCTAGTTATATTTAGTTGCAATGACAAGGACTAATTTCTTAACAACCTATCATTGCAAGCGTGGGATTAAATATGTGTTGACTAATTAATTTAGAGGGTGTAAAGATTATGCCGCATCAACTATTGATCGAGATGTTTCAACATTAGTTAAGAGAATTATTAGAAAATTTGTCGAAGAGGGAGTAAATTAGAAGTAGGCCAATATTGCATATTGAGTAATTTAATATTTCCTTTTCACAACAATTAAAAAAATATCTATTATTTACTCGTTCAGTCTATATTATTCAACGATTATTCTAATACTTTTAGAATGCCTTTATTATATGTTTTATATATAGTGTGAGATTTATTATAGTGTTTCATAAATATCTCAAAACGAACCAACGTAGACTAAATGAAGTACCAATATAAAATGGGTTAAATTTTTTTTATTAACTTAAAGTCTTAAACTTGTATTTTCGCGAAAATTGTAGTTCATCCAAAAAAGATATCGAAATGTATATACAGGCAATTATGAGTTAAACAAAGAAGAAAGAAAGGGAAAATGACTTGCGGGAACCTCATTTTTTTTAATACAGTTCTGAAAATTTAAGCTAAATATAATTTTATACCATTTATTCCACAAATATAATAATGTAGATTAAGTTTTATAGGTCACAAGCTCAACAACATTGAACAAAATTGAAAAACTCTAAATTATCGCAAATCTTTTTGACACACTACAAACTTCACTAAATTAAAATTAAACAAGTCCATGTGCGAAGAAAGCTATTAAAGAAGTCTTATAGAGTAGTTAATGTTTTTTTTTTAAAAATTGTAGAGTAGTTAGTATAGAGCAGAAAAAGTAATTTGGTGAAAGTTTCTTGGAATATTAAATAATAACAGGGGAATATAAACCAACCTCATGTAGATTAACAATTTTATTTTGAACCAAACTCCATTTTAAATTCAATATCACTTGGCCTCTCTTTCTTCGAATGATATAAAATGTTCCACAAGTAGATGCATTATAATTCCAACAACAACAAATTTCTGTTTCATTCTAAATTTAAATCAATCCATAAATTGGTTAATTATATATCATTAATCCGAGTTACGATATTTTTAAAGCACAAAGTGTCTAATTAGATCTGTTTAGGGAAAGTGAAAACATGAAATGGTCTTTTCGGCACAAATGCGAATTGACACCAGATAGGATACAAAAGGGGAAAAAAAAAATGAACTGATAACTTACTTATACTCGATCTATATATCAAACCATATAAATTAAATTAACTTTAAACTAAACAATCATGAATTGAGGTGTGCTAGGTTTGTTCTTAGTTTTCTTTCCATGACCATAAATCCTTTCTATTAATTCTGAAATGCTTCTACGTTTGAATTTTAACCATATTTCAAATTTTAGGAAGACAAAATATATAAGTTGGCACCTAAATTATGAACTAAATCTCTGTTACACACTTTCTGTGAGCGAAAATAATATTACACACTTAACATTTTAAAAGTGTGTCTAATACACACCTCCTTTGACCAGGACTCAATATGTGTAAAACACCGTGATAGAAGCGCGTCTACCAATATAAATACTGTTTAATTATTTATTTAATGCCACGTGTCATCAAATCTTCATCTTCCCCACCCTTCCTCCCATCCCTTCTCTTCTTTTTCTTTCTCAAAATCATTACCTCCGATTTTCTCTTAAATAAAAATTTTGCGTTAATATCAAGCTTCCAATCTCTTTCCTTCTCTAGCCTCCTTTTTATATGTTTGATTTCATTCACGTTTAATAAATTTTTGTCATCATCGCAAAATTTTCTATTAGTATAGATTTTTTTCTTGTGAGTAATTTCGGCTACATCTATCGCGTGCATATACTTTTTTTTTTTAATTTTGCGGTTATCTATCTCAGATTTAGAATTCTTAGCTTCTGACGTTGAAGAGGAGTCTGAATTTTTTATTCTGAAAGTTGGTGATGGTGGCGGCAGCCATGGAGATGACAAACAAAATTTTGGGAGAGAGCTATAAATGAAAATAGCCAGTTTATATCTTTGTTGATGTAGATAAGCTTCAGTAAATATGGTACCCGAGGAGTTGTAGAGAGAAGACCGTTTTTTTTCTATTTTCGATCTACCTTTGCCTCCGTTGCATTTTTTTTTATTTTAAGAATGGCCTTATTGTGGTGGTGATATAGTGGTGTGAGCCATGGCTTATTGGCTTTTGATGCTTTTATTTCTTTCTGGGATTAAATCACTTGAGCTCCTAATTTTTAGATTGAATTGTGTGTTCTGATATTTTGGGTAGTCCATGGAGAAGGAGATAGAGGTGGAAGAGATGGGGTTGAAGAAGATGAGGGTGTATGTGTAATTTTATATTTTTCTTTTTTTTATTTATATTAATGACACGTGTCACGACCTTATTGGTGCGTGACATTACCCATATTTAGGTAAAATGGTCAAGAAAAAAGCAGTATGTCTTAGATATACTTTTAAAAGATTGAGTGTGTAATATTATTTTCGCCCACAGAAAATGTGTAACGGGGATTTGGTCTATAGTTCGGGTGCCAACTTATGTATTTTGCCTTTTAGGAATGAATATGATGACACTACATCTGGGCATATTCATCATATCATATAATATTATAAGTGAGAAGCTCGAAAGTAAAAATTATAATATCAAAATTCCCATCAATAACTAAATGGGCCTTTTATTATTTAAACTCGATTTTCTTATAAAATTTTTATATACTTGTGAGTTATTTTAATTTAAAAATATAAAACAGTTAATGACCCCTTTGAACATATAAGATTAGATACATTGTATAAAAAATTAATTCAAAGGTTAGTGTTGAATTCCCAAGAAATCTCAGATACACGTAACCACAGTCCATGCCATCGGTTTCTCTAATTTTGAGTTAAATTTGTTGGGCTTTTAAGCTTGGTGTAGCTTAAGAAGGGTGAATAGGAAATAGAGGAAAAATGAAATATTTGAGTTTCCCTCCTTGGCAAAGAGACATTGTCTCATATTGGACGAAGAAAAGACTTTTGATGAGTATATATACAATTACTC